GAGAGATTTTAGGTCTTCACTCATTTGTCTCTGTCTTTTCGGAGATTAGCTTTAAATTCGGTGGTCCCTTTTCTTTAATAAGCTTACTGTTAAATGAAACGTTAAAATTGTACACAATAACAGTAATAGATAATTATAGATAGTAATTACAATAGCGCAAATTCCCGCTCGACAGCAAGCTTTATGGCCTGTACAATCTATGCTGTTAGCCAAGGAGACCTGATAGCATTCTGAAACAATCTCAACTTCCTGGGAAGCCCACAGTGTAAGCCGCCATTTATAGGCGCTAAAACACTAACATACTGACAAGATCTTTCGGTGTCTCTGGCCGGGTACACATTCCCACCTGGTTGAAGTAAGGAAAATTCGTGTAAAGTGCCTTTCCCAAGGACACATCGTTAGGCCTGCAGTTCGAGCCCCTGAGCTTGCAACCTCAAGATTAAAAGTCCGGTAGCCTAACCACTAGATTATCGACGACACACAATCACCTAACTTGAATACTTACTGCTCTGAAACAAAGATAATAAGCTCAAGGGTAACAGAGTCACGGTTTAAAACCAGCACCAGGTCATGAGATCCACTGCCTTCGTGAGAACATTTATTTTGCATCTATTTAAAATTGAATCCCAACAAAAAAAGTTCTTGTCTAATCTAATGTAAATTCGGTCAAAATCTAGCTCAAGGTTATAGGATCCGTTGCCTTTGTGTGGACAACGTTATTTTTTTTTATCCCTTGTGAAATTTTAGTTATAACAAATGTTCATTTCGTCCCATCTAGTAGAAAAGGCTGCCATAATCCAGTACCAGGTCCTTGAATCCACGAACACTTGTGTATATATAAGTCGTTTCCATACAAAAAAAAACTTTTAAAATCAGATTATGACAACTATTATGTTACAAGGCTCTGATTTCCTTAGACAGAGAACGTATTTCTTGAACATAGATTGTTGTGGGGGGGGGGGGTTGTTCATCATGCTGCCTTTCTTGTGCATTTTGTCTAAAAGAGCTGCGGTTTCTAGCTAGTTAGATCTAGGTATAACAACACACTCGTAGGCTTATCTATCTATCTATCTATCTATCTATCTATCTATCTATCTATCTATCTATCTATCTATCTATCTATCTATCTATCTATCTATCTATCTATCTATCTATCTATCTATCTTTAAATTGCTGATTGAACAGAAGTTGTAAGCTAGTGGGCAAGTTTGGAAATGTCTGTGTGGGAGTTCAAAAGAGTAGGAATGAATCACGAACACGAGTCCAGGCAAAATTGGGTGCAATACTTGTAGGAAAAATACTTCACTTTCTCGTTTGGTACTTTTAGAAATGTCCTTTTGTAGTGAATTAAGAATTTGGAAATTAGAGATATTAACTTGAGATGAAATTTTTGCTCAAAATGAAAACTAAATCTAGGTGGAGTTGATTATTCTTCGGGATTTCTTCTTTGATGTGTGTATGCTCGAGAAAATGAATGGATTCTCTGGGGACAATTGATTCGTAAGTACAATATTTGATTTCTATACGGGGTTTTTGTTGTTGTTTTTTCGGTGAGGATGTGTGCTACCAAAACAAAATATTATCAAATCGGAAGTTTCGGGTCAGGCAGAATGACCAGTCAGGACAAACATTCTGTTTAAGAAAAGAAATGATAGATCTATCAAAGCCCCACGGATATACATTCAAGGTACCAACGAATCTCTGTACATTTATGCTTATCAAAACTGCGGACCAACTGAATGTCGATATGAGATAGGGCTGCATTGGTAAAATAAAAGAATAATCAAATGTCGACATTTTTCATCCTGGAAGCTAGTGAGAAGACAATGCATAGAACAGAGATTTAAGATCCTACAATTTAACGATATCAAATCCTATCCCAAGTAATGATAATCTCTAGAAGGCTCTAAGCGCTGGACAATGCTGAATTATCACTCAACTTAACTGACAAATTAAAAGAAAGAAAATGCACATTATGAGACCATTTAACACACACACGCACGCACACACACACACACACACACACACACACACACACACACACACACACACACACACACACACACACACCAACTCACACACACACACACAGAGAGAGAAAGGGAGAGAGGGTGCATGCAGAGAGAGAGAGATAGAGAGAGGGGGGAGACACACACACACACACACACACACACACACACACACAAAGAAAGAGAGAGAGAGAGAGAGAAAGAGAGAGAGAGAGAGAGGGAGAGAGAGAGAGAGAGAGAGAGAGAGAGAGAGAGAGAGAGATG